CCATGTACAAACGACACTCCTCGAATACCACCTTCCCATAGCGTGTCTTTTCTGCCTCGCAAGGGGTAGTCATAGCCACCATTCTTAGGCACACCACCATTGTCAGTACTSAGTATTAAAATGGTATTCTCCCACATTCTACAATAATCAGACCAGAATCATCACCTTGAATGCTATCCTACGTTATATACCGTACTTCACATGTGCCGAATACAAATACTATTTTAGTCGATTTAAATAAGGCATTAAGATTCAGACGTCGCATTTTAGTGTCATATACATATATCACAATCCCTTCTCGGACGTCACCGTATTTTCCAATAATATGATGGCGGATAACACAGACGACCTTTTCATACACTAGTATTAGAAGAGGTATTCATTAAGTCCATTACATACCCTGTCCGTTTTAAGGTATCAGTAAGGTTACCAACAGCTTCATCCATGATAGTTACCATACCAGCATATGTGCGTCTTATTGGGTCATTTATGAAGCTGTATTTATCTACGAATTCCTGAGGAGCCTGGACTGGACTATGAACGTTCTGAAATGCCATGTACATAAACATAGGCTTCGATGGATCATGGGCGTTGAATATCTTCTCAGCTTGCTAAGGGAAASAAAAGTCAAAATATTTAAACGATTCTGGTAAATATTCGCAACTCAAAGACACTCTTTTCGGCACGCGAAAAGAAAAAGCCGAATAATACCCGAACTTGCCCGATCACTCTCCGAGCACACCTCTTCGTTAGCCCAATCTTTTGTTCATTTTCTAAATGCAAATAATATTAAACAACATGTTGGGGTTAAGGAGTTTATACCTTGGTGAATAAATAAGAAGAAAAAGTTCCATTCATATCTCTCACTATCTCTTCATTGTCACGTAAATCAAGATAGTGTCCTTGGACATGCGTATAATGGTTTTCTGCACCACTGTAGAAGCCATAAAAAGTATCAAATCCCCGGTACGTAGGAGTACTGGCCCAGTTGTAAAACCCTAAATGCCATTTTCCAAGCATATGGGTGGTGTAGCCTGCTTCTTTGAGCTTTTGTGGGAGGGTAGTGAGGTTCAGAGGGAGACCAAATGGACTTCCATTGTGGATTATACCATGCTGTAAACCTACAAAAAGATTAATTATAACTATTATGTATGGATTATACATTTAAATTTGACGTCCAAATGACAATACATATACATGTGCTTCACATGTTTGGTGTCGGGGTTCCTGTGTCCTACATGATGAATGATCCTTGGTGATACGAGGTGATACGAGTAATCAGTACTGAAATCATTCTTCCGTTCTTTAAAATAGACCTTCCAGAATTCAAGGATGTC